GGGGGGGGGGGGGGACACCGGCGGCGGCGGCCGGGTGGAAGGAAGGAGGGATCAAGATGGCTGCGGCGGCGGCGGCGCGGGCGGCCCTTACCTGTTTTCTCCTTGATCTCGCAGAGGACACTGAACAAGGCGGGTTTCATCCTGTGGCAGTTCAGTGCGTGTTTTCTGAAAGAGAGGAGAGGGACAAGGCGGTTAAAAGGCGGCTTTTCAGCAACATGGCGTCTCCCCCCCCCCCCCCTTCATCGCCCGCCAGCCCCGCGGCCCGGGCGCCGGGAGCCACCGACCGGGGCTGGCGGGCGCTGAAGGGGGGTGTGTATGGGGGCCGGTCTCCGGGTCTCTCTTTTCCCTTCATTTCCCTCTTTTATACCAAATTATCTTTGTGCAAATAACCGCCCGAGCGAGGGGTATAAATCACCCCAACACCCCCCCCCCTTTCCTTGTCCCCGCTACGATCCGGCCGGCGATCCTATAAACTGATTTATTCAGGAGATTTGAAGTGGGGGGGGTGGGGTGGAGGGGGTGTTGCAGAGTTAATATTCTTTGGGGTTTGTTTGTTTATGTATTTATTTATTTCACTGTGATTTAAAAAATTTTAATTTGGGGTTGTTTTGTTGGGTTTTTTTTTCCACACACGCACACACCACCACCCCCCCTTACTTCCCCCCAGCAGGTTTGTAATTCATCGGCCGCCCACTTCGGAGAGAAGGAAAAGAGAAAAGAAAGAAAGGAAGGAAAGAAGGAAAAGTTGCGGTGCGAGGGACAGACGGACGGACGGACGGACAGACAGCGGCGGCGGGGCCGGTGTCCGGCGGACAGTGTCCGAGGGGAACGGGAAGGGAATCAGCCTCCCGAGCGACGGCGTAAGCATCGCCTGGGTCTCTATTTATTCTTATTATTATTATATCTATTTCAAAACAAACAAACCAACCAAACAAACATTCAAATAGCAACTTTGGCTCTGCCTTGGCTGCTTGTAATTTCTCCTACGGCACCGAGAAGTTGCTCAAATTGTGAGACTCCGGGGTCTCCGCGGAGGAGAGCGGGGAGAGAAATAATGCAAAGCACAGGCATGATTAGTGTCTTAACAGGGAGCCGATAGCAGAGGAATTGGAAAAAAAAAAAAAAAAGACAAGGTTTAATTAGACGAAACCAACTTTGCTTGTGCCTCATCCAGGCTTTGGTCAGTGATGGTCATGATCTGAAATATGAAGTCTTTCTGCTAAGATGTGTAAATACCAGAGAGCCTCAGAAAAAGACTCAGCAAAAAGGTAAAACCAAACTGCTTAACCTCGTTCTCTGAAGTGGCTGTATGCTTTTCTTCTTTGCTAATTCCTCTCAAAGTCATTAAGCTAAGGGCAGAAAGTTAACATGAAGAAAAAAAAAAAGCCAAACAAAACAACAACAAAAATCAGTATTTGTGTTTTGACCGGATCTCAGCTGTTTATTCCACTCTCTTCTCCTTCCCGGTGCAGTAAATCACTCTCTTCTTTAGTTACAGTCTTCTTTCATCATCATCATATTTGTGGCTCGGATAAATGAGTTGATAAGATTTCTTTGCAGTTTTCCTGGTACAATCTTCCTCCAAAGCTTTTTTATTATTATTATTATTGTTATTATTATTTTTTTTATTGTTGCTTTTTATGTCTTTCCCCACTTGTCCAAAAATCTTCTGGGCAAAATTAAAAAAAAAAAAA